GGGTGAAAGAGATCGAGAAACTAAGCTATTTACTCCACCCTGTCCTGTGAGACAATCTTATCACAAAGTAAACTATTATGAAAATGTCGCGTTTCATAAAACTTTCATTATACCCTGGGTATAATGTTTGTTTTATTGTGTCGTATTGAAACCAAAGCTAATAAACTATATATCATTTTAAAGCTTTATATAGAATAAAAATTACGATGAATTTTTTCTTCTAAATACTGCAATTTATCTTAAAAGAGTACCGCACGCTTTTACGTACGTTTACGTTAATGTAAGTCAAAGATTGTTTTGTGCTACTGAAAAGATATTTACGAAAAAAAAAAACATTCTACAGATATTAGTCTCAAATTAATCATTTTTTCACAATCATACCAAAACACTTATATGCGATTCCCTATATGGATCGAGAATGGTTGAACAACGAGAASATTTCGAAGCCGTCTTTCAGAAAATCCAGTTAAAAAAATCCAATCTGCGTCGTAAGGGGCCCTATATAATGAATTGGGGTGGGTCCTCCCCGATTCCTTTATATAGGGCCGCTACGCAGGCTACATCRAGCGCTCTTTTCACAAAAGTTATTTTTTGAAAATGTACGTAATTTGTTCCGTTGATAGCCATAGCCTCCCCAAACCTTTCTGAAATTCAAATTCTTTAGTGATAGCGATGGGTTAGATAAATAAAACATGARAACTGCTTGTACAAATATTTTTTTCACATTTTAACGCAACTGAACAATTTATTGTGTTCTAACGAATAACGTGGGATATACGAGATGAAGTATGGAATTCTTCACATCATTAGCAATAGCATCGCTAGAAATTCTGAATCAAAGTAGGAGGAGACCWTTATATTAATGCAAAATATAATAATGGCAAATTCATGCAATTCACACTAATTATTTTCTCTCAATTGTGATTGACACGCATCACAACATAGCATTCAGTAATATGCCGGMTCGAAAATGTAAAWAGAAGACAACTTTAAGAGCAATTTTAACTATCAAAAATTGACAACTATACATTTATTTGCCTACAATTAAGGTTCGTTTCTCATTTTCTTTGATTTTTGTTTTCAGTGCAGCAACAGTAGACCTCACTCTACTCTGTTATTGATTRTTCTCCTGATGGGTGTCATATACAAGCCAACATAGCATGAAAAATAATAACTCTCAATGTTTTCATTTTTCAATAACTCTATTTGTTTTTAATTGTGCAAGACATGCCCTTAAATATGTCCGTAGTACTGGACTAGTACCATGTGACCTGATTATATGGAATCACATCGATAGTATATTTAGAATTTGAAATGTTGCCATTCGCACAATATATTTCTCAAACTTTTCAATGTCTATATCCGCAGTAAATCTCTCGATGATTTAACCTACCTGAACCTGGCAAGCTTTTGCCAATTCTTGGTATACCTTTTTTTCAGGAGTACCAAGCAAAACATAAAAATGCTTGCTACTTGTCATCTGTACCATCTGGAAGTTTACGCTAGACTTTGGTGGTTTGCAAACATTGCAGTAAAGTCTCCTGGTGATCTTAGTTGGTCTCCTATACCAACTGAATTATTGTACTTGAACAAGCCAGGTAAGTTATCATGCATTTAAACAAGTGCTATATATACAGTAGGTACTTTTTTTTCATCACTGAGTCAAACTTTGGTGCGATTTATAATTTACAGCACATGAAGAGTCTTTTACAAAAGGCCTAAAAGTCGAGTCTTMAAAAAGTCTTAAAAAAGAGTCTTAAGAGCGAATGCCTACAAAAATCGATCAACTACCGGCCAAAGCCAAAAAATCGATTTTGTTCATATTTCGACCAAATGATGAGAATAACTCACCTTTAACCGCCATGGGGTTTGTTTTTCGAAAAATTGATTTTTTTGGAAGAAAATCGAGAATATCGATTCTGGACGTTTTCGACCTAAAATCAGGTTTAATTAAGAGTGAAAAATATAGTCCGAAAATGTCCTGATCCTGCGCACAAACAAGTGTATCCCGAAAACTCTGTCCTCGTATGTTGTTTTAGAAAGGGTTTGACGTTAATTCTAAGGTAAAATATTATCGTTTTAATAATGTTGAAGAGGGAATGATCGCACTTCAATTCCCTTGACCTCGCATGTCACAGAAATTTTCATTTCACCTCTCAATTGCGACGAGCAATTTYYCTATGTGCAAGAACCCGGATTCTTTTCAAACTCCAGCTGCTGAGCCTTCGAAAGATGCTTTTTAATCGTACCTAAAAAAAAATCCGGGTTTTTAACTCGGCGGACTGTACGGTCCTCTAGAATCTGACGAAATTTTGCATAAAATTAGCGTGACCTTCGATTTGTTTACATCACTCGTTCTAAAAAGCCTCCGATATAAAGACAGAATTTGCAAGTTAGAATTTTATTTTCTTCTTTATAATGCTACCCTCTAACAAAACAGTTTCGTTTAAGTTGTTTTTGCTTAGTACTTTTTGTTGATACTCACTATAAGGAAGAGTGTACAGTATAGAGATTGCGTTACTGTTTGAAGTTAATTGACGTTCTGTTTAGCATAACTGATATTCCTCAATTATGTTGATATTCTAATGCTTGAAAGCATTTTGTAATARGTGAAGAAAGGTATTTTTACTTTGAATTGTTCCTATATGATATGAATATTGTTTTACAAAGATCGCGCGAAATGACAWGCAATCCAGGTGTTGTGTGACTTGTAAGTAACATCAACCTACTTTGCTAATCATGTCAGTGCGAAGGTGAAAACGAGCAAGTAGCTGAATAGTTTTCTAGAATATGGCAGACAATTTTTCATTTTTTGCAATTACTGGAGGTAACTGTGGGTATGATAGGAGAGATAGGACTAAGTCCGTCAAGAACGTACCTTTATTGAGTTGTGATAGGGATATCACTAGTCACAAATCTTTACTGACGATTTATGCTGACGAAGTAGAAAATGAAGTCGATCTGATTCTTGCGAGATCTTCCTTATTTTCCCGACCTTTAAACATATCAGAAATGGTGGTGTGCCCAGCGCACCGATCTGCACTTGGTACTGGATGGGTTAGAGATGCTGCAACTTGCWAAATACCAGACCTTATTTCCAATCATCGCGCCAACAAAAGGCCAAAGGCACAGAGAGGATTAAACAAAGTGGGTTCCCAGTTGGTACTTAGAGAAAGTGGTATTTTTCTCCCTATCGGAACAGGTGCGGTTTGTCTCTTATTCTAATTCTCTTAATAAATAATAGAGTGCTTTTACTCAAACTGTGAAAAACTTAGTTRACTAAATAACTATTTAGGTGACGTCGCATAAATTAGTAAAAGCGCGCAAAAGCAACCGTCGAGAAAATCAGGGGGAGCTGTATTTAGGTGGCTTTGTTTTACCGGGCCTGTAAACATTAACAAACCGGCAAAGTTTTGTGAAATACGCTGTAATTGTTTTCCAAGCTTGAGTTGAACAGTCTTTAACGGTCAAATAATCTGGATCTGTTCTTTCTGAAGCTCTTAGAAAATGTAAAGCAAGACAGTTTCATTAGCGATGTTATTCATGTTCGCGGTTCGTGTCGAAAGATAATCTTAAATATAAACGTAGCCAGGCGCATTTCATTTTAATTATTCTTCTCTACTTTTTTAAATCATTCGATAAAATTCAATAAAAAATTCAATATCGCCCTATAGAAGTGTAAAGAAATAAATTCTTGGACCTTCGCCATCAAAACGTTTTTAATTGCAGTTTTCTATGTCCCCCCTGATTTTCTCGACGGTTGCTTTGGCGCGCTTTTACTAATTTATGTGACGTCAACTAAATAGTTATTAAATTAACTAAGTTTTTCACAGTTTGACTAAAAGCACTCTATTATACAAGAAATACGTATATTTGCAATGTGAGGCTTTTACACTTTATGCGCAAAAGGAGTCAACAATGCATGCTTATACTTTTAATTTCGCTCAGGTGTGTGCTCTTCTTGTAGAAAGATCCTTAATGCCATTCAGTTGAACACATCCGATGAAATCGACGAAATAACATTCAAAATGCAAAATATCTCCTTGGTAAGTCACATAGTCTTTATGCACTAGTCAAACTATACCACCATCCTCCACCCCAAACACTGGACACTGTGGGGATTAGTGTGGCATATGAAAAATCAGTTCTATAAATGTTGGGGCAAAAATAAACATCAAATCCCCCACCCCCTGAAGCTTCAATTTTCAGGCTTTTTCTCCTAACTGCAGTCTTTTCCTGACCTAATCCCCTTCTATTACCCCACCCCCGTCAAATACCCACTTTATCCGCACCTCCTGGGGCACCATTGCTTGTCAAATGTGATATTTTGCCCCACCCTGTCCCGGGTTGGGGATGGGTGGGGTGGGGGTTACTTTGACTAGTGCGTTATTTGGCGGTGCTTCATCTTTAATTGCATGAATCCACTCGAAAACGATGCAAGCCCAGTTTCCTTTCCTCTGTATCTCATTTGATATTTGGATGGGAATGAAAAACGCCTGGGGAAGACAGAATTGTTAAGTCACAGACTAAGAGACAAACAGTGATATTCTCGACACACTCTCGAGTCAATGATTATAACACAT